AGTTAAGTAGACTCGATTTATCTACCTAGAATCGTTGCTAGCATATTTTCTCTTCGCTTATTTTCGTTTTCATCAAGTCGAGGTGACTCCGATAACCAAAGTTCGCGTCTTTTTCTCTCAAAGCTTGCATCTTTAATTCGATGCTCTCTATTCTTAGTGTAATTAGTCTTAACTCAACCTCAACCATCATATTAATGTATGTTTATGATTTTATTTGCTATTTTTGTGCCTTTCGACAACTAGTTAGTAAGCGAAGCTCCGAACACTCTTTCTTAGAGAGACGACCCGAGTTTGCGTAACTCAGTTACCAACCTATCCCGCTATAAACCAACCAAACAGGTCACACCAATATTTGCACAAAGTGCTTAATTGTTTGGGGGAAAAACAAATAAGTAGAAATTTTAAAAATTTAAATTAAAACGGTATGATCAATAAAACATGATTCAAAGTGATTGCACTGGCATACTTTAGTTTTTCTTTATTTTACTTGTCATGTGTTAGCATGAAAACGTATCTGCAGCAGGCAGAACTTTTGACCAATTATTAGTAACACATAACTTTCAGATATTATATAGACATGTTAGTAGGCATATTAATTAATTAACCCACGAATTATATATTTTTTGAATGTAACTCAAATATTTATACTCTAAAATAATTAAAAAAAAAAACTCATAATGATTGTGTTGTGGGGATCCAATTAGATAAGTCCTTTGAAAGAATCAAATCTTTTTCGTGTTATGGTATATTGGAGTTTGCTTACTACTTGTCATTTGTTGAATAAAGTGAAAGAGAGAAATAATAAAGCAGCTTGAGTTCTTGCCGTTTGTAGTGAAATGACAAATTAGTCCTTATTTTAGAGATGGTCCATAGTGTAGTGGGATTAAAGCTTCTTTCTCACGTATAGCTTAAACACTAAATTGGTACAACTCAAACTAAAGTACGAAACAAGAATATTCAAGATATAATAAAGAAAAAGGAACCGCAATTTCGCATACAAACGGTGACGTAAGGAAGTGTACGAGTGAGAGAAGATAAAAGATATTTCAATAACTTGTCCACTAAGCAAGCTAATAAATAATTATTATCTTACCAGTTAAATACTAAACAAAAAAGAATAATAATAAACGTAAATGGCGGAAATAAATGTATATCCTAAATCAATGATGCTAGACGTACGATATTTCGTCTCCATCATTCTCCCCCAGTCGAAAAAGATTCGCCCTTGAATTCGATACAATCTCGTCTTCAAATGGCGAGACCATACCCCTGCATGGCTACTGTGAAATGGATCCATTAAAGTTGAGCTCTTGTGAAAAAATATTACGATTCCATTGTCGACCTTAAGTCCTGGAGTTGTGGTGGCAGTTAGAAAATATTGTCCATCTTGTGGTCGTTCTCTCGACGCTGATAGTTCAACTTTTGTTTCTCTTAATTCTTTCATTGCCAAATAATCCCAGAAAACCATGTCGCTGAGTAAATTCCCAAAGCCTGCCAAACTTGTAAAACTCCCTTTCGGATTCCCCCAATTGTATTGTATAGGTCCGTCCCAAGCTCTAGTAAAAGACTGGATATCTTGTCAAACATCGTCGCCAGGGCAGACATAAATCCTTAAACTACAAAAAATTCTTTTCTAGAAGACGATCATTGCACATCTTCAGCTACGTTCCACGACATATGTGGCAACAAACATGAACGACAGATGCTAGGGCGGTCCCCGCAAAGATGTTCCTCTGTCTTTGAGGTCTCCTCATCAAAAAACGACGGACCTTCGTAGAGACCGCTCGCGTCGGAGTCGCTGACCTCCTCGATGAACAATCCGCGCTACCCCCTAACCGCGAGCTAGGGCTGCCGTGAACAGCGTCCCAGCCGGCACCCTTGGCCTCCGGAACCCCGCATCGCCCCAACACAATTCGTGACCACTGATCTCATCGAAGTCGTCATCTTCGCGTCGCACCTCACAACCCTTTAAGCCGGCGAAACCCTAATCCCAACATCGCGCGTCGCGACTCTACTAGTTTTTGTAATCCTCTACCACGCGGTGCGCCGCACGACCCCCGACGTCCTTGAAATCCACTTCTGATCGTTGCTGATCGGAATAACGACCATCGTCGAACTCATTCGCCTTCTGTCAGGTTGAACGACCAACGAATGGGTTGATGTCGGACCAGGTACTTTCGTCGTCTTATGCGCCGTACATGGGTGATGGGGACGTCCCCTGCCAAAGCCTCGTCAGCCAAGCCCACATCTGAAACCCCTGCGACCGCACCGGTGCTCGACAATGTCTCGGTTCATTTGCTCGTCCTAAACCATGATATGGAGAGTTAGACGTATGTCCCCAATATCCACGGACAGATCCACAATTCGACGACCCATCATCTCGAGTCGGCGGCTAAACCCCCCAGCCTGACGGCTCAGGTGGTAAATGGCGGCGTCACGCCTGTCGTCGACAACATCTTGTCTTCGCGGCATCGTGATCGTTCTGACTTCGGATACTAACCGATGTAGTTGAAACATACTCATAGGAGAAGATAAAAGAGATTTCAATCTATGTATTTTTATTCAGATCAACTGTCTAACATCAAAGAGAAAAGGACTCCTTTAAAGAAGACTCCTACAACTGTAACAATAACTTGCCCACTAAGCAAGCTAATAAATAATTATTCTCTTACCAATTAATACTAAACATAAAAATAAAATAATAAACGTAAATACAAATAAATGTATATATGCTATACCATATTTCGTCTCCATTATACAAAAACCGACTACGGATACATGACCCATTTAATACAGGGGACATTGTTAAAGATAATTAAGTACGAAGAATATTCAATATGTCTAGCAAATATGACAATTGTTTATTTTGTCTTCAATATCTCCAGTCAACAACAAGCCAGCAGACATATGTGGGTTTAAAATTTTTGTTCCCGATTAGTCGGTTCCCCTGTGGATCCAGAAACCGGAAGATCCCTGTACCAAAAAAAAAAAAAAATTTGTTCCAACTTTTTCTCCATACAGAGCAATATATGGTCACGTCTTAATTAGTACTTTTCATATAGTTATATAATATATATTGTATGTTCCCTATGTTCCCCTTTGTGTGAAAAATACAATTCAGTATATATAGTTAATTTTTTTTAATTTTTTTTTTTTCGTTTTCTGTTCCTCTAGCTTTTTCGAGTTTAAATATGGTGTAATATCTTTAACTAATTATGTTAATTTGTTCTAAAGAAAACGCTTGGAACTTTAAATTTAAATATTTTGATGATTACAAACACAAACCTAAAATAAATGGAACAAATTTTATTGGAATGGAGGAGACGAACATATTATTAGAACCGGGAAAAGTGTGCGGTCCTACCAGACGAAACACACTATAAGAAGGTGAAACTAGCTGCACCTTAGTAATGTTCAAGCGAGTTCTTCCACTAATTTCACATAAGGAATTGGTCAAAATTGTTGATAAAGTTAAAAGTGGCGAACGAAAGCTTTTTCAATGAATATAAACCAAACTAAAACTTATTATACTAAATTGATTTTTTTATTTTTTTTGTAAAAAAAAAGTTATTGGCTGAAATTAAACAAAAAATAATAATAATAACTATAATTAATTGAAGCTGAAAAATATAATAAACTAAAACAAAAAAACCCAAAAATTATTTATACTAAAAAATATATTTTCTCCAGCTGCTTGGCGTCTCCAGGTTTCTTATATTGCTTGGTCAAATGTTGAAATCTTTTGCATTGCTCCACCATATTATTATTAAAATGCATCTTCACAATTTTGGCTAAATAATTAACAACATCGAAATTTAAAGCTATCTATGTTGTTTGAAGAATTTAATTCATATACAATACAATTTAATTGGAGCAGAAAAACTGTTCAAATAGTAATTTATTGTAATTAATTTAGTAAATTTTGTAAAAAAAAATAAGAAATTAAGGGCATAGTTGTAATAGAGAGAAAGGGCGTAAATGGAATAGTACAACAAAAGTTTTTGGAGAGTGTTGAAATGTTCAATTTCACTTCATGAGTTTCCCAATAGCCTTAAAAGCATATACAAGATTAAGCTTTATCAAATTTCACAAATATTCATTCACCACCTTTTAAAAAAAATTAAGAATCTCATTTGAATATATGACACACATAATTATTGCAATTGCAACAACACTACATTATTAATTCTCCTTTTTATCTTTAATATATATATAATTAGTCTCTACAGTTTTACTATGGAACTATCAGATGACTCGGCTTATGAAGTCATCCACAATTATTCACAAATAGTGTATTGACATGTGTCACACAACAAATATACTTTGGACAGATATCAATAAATTAAGTGATCGATGACTCTATTAAAATTTTTGCTTTGTCTCTGTTTCTTTTTGGCAAAATGCTTATCAATACACCACCATTCATATTTTTGCAAATCGATACATAGATGACGGTTTTGTGAACAAAAATCTAAAGAAAAATCTGAGATGGTATTAAGTCACGTCATGGCCGCCATGTCAGATGTCTGTTAACAGAATTGTCATTTGCGTATCGATTCGCAAAAAAGGCGAAAGTGGTGTATCAATTTGTAAAACATCAAATGTGGTGATTAAATTGCAAAAACATGAAATGTGGTGTATTAACCCGCAGATTTGCCTTTATTTTTTGAAGTGTGACTCTATAGTTGAATAATAAGGATAGGTTATAGGTAGGCAAGTGAAAGTATAATTTGAAAAGGAAAGCCACATATATCGAGGCCGCCCCCTTAGTATATATAAGCACGTACCCATACACCACCAAAATCACAGCCACATTATCTTATTTGTTCTCTATTCTTTGCCCAAATTCTCTCATTCTAATTTTACTTATATTTAAGGGTACGTACGTAATTATATTTTTTATATTTTCATTTTTTTATTATTAAGTAGTAATTAATTAATGTTAATATGTTTGGTAATAATTAATCATTTGTGATGATGAGGAGCAGGGAGGAAAAAAAATGAACAGGCCGGGAGACTGGAACTGCAGGTCGTGCCAGCACCTCAACTTCCAGAGGAGGGACTCGTGCCAGCGGTGCGGCGACCCGAGGCCTGGAGCTGCGGGTGACTACGGCGGGAGGATGGGTTCGCCGTTCGGGTTGATAACCGGTCCGGATGTCAGGCCCGGGGACTGGTACTGTTCGGTCGGCAACTGCGGGGCCCACAACTTCGCCAGCCGATCCAGCTGCTTCAAATGTGGGGCCCTCAAGGACGACGCCGCCTCCGGAGGAGGAGGTGGATTTGACGGCGACTTCTCGCGTGTCCGCGGCGGCTTTGGATTCGGCGGCGGCTGCGGCGGCGGCGGCGGCAGCCGCTCAGGGTGGAAGTCCGGCGACTGGATTTGCACTAGGTCGAAATTAATTAATCACAACTTAATTAGTATGGGTTATTTATTTAATTTAATTTGTCGTTTTCGCTTTTATTTAAAGTTACATCTTCAACCTCTTACCCTTTTTTTTTTTTAAATATATA